ATGGAAGAGGCTCAAAGGAACTTGTTTGTCCTTTCTCCCATATGAGGAACAGTAAGAAGGCACCACCTGTGAAACAGACCAGACACCAAACCTGTGGCTGCCTTGATCTCAGACTCCCTGGCCTCCAGAAGTACAAACAATAAATTTCTGTTTTTCATCTTACCTTAGGCATGTCCCTTTAAGAAATGAGAAAGCTGATATTCAGAGAAGGTAAGAAATTTCCCAAGCTTGTTTATATAGGAAGTGGGCTGGTAAAAACTTGAACTCAGATCTCTAATCTCCCCTGGAGCCACTCTTTTTCAAACTATATTACTTGACAGTTTTACACCTAGTTTTCCTAGTAATGTTGCCGATGGCCATAGCTGATGCAAAAAACAGGGTAACCAGGTAACCAGGTAACCACCAGGGGAGCTCTGGAAAGACAGGTGGTGGAAGGTGTGGCAGGATCAGCCACTTGTCTGTCCCTATCACATCACCGTTTCACCACTTTCTGCTCTTGATTCTGCCTTCCTTCCTCCTCTTCCATCTTAGAGGTCATGTTCCATTAAGACCAAGAAAAATACTAAGAGAAGAGAAAGGGGTCATTGTCTTGCCTGGCAGAAGACCTGAGTGTGGAAAAGAAGGCCATGGGGAACTTTTTTTTTTTCAAAGTGGCATTTGGGGACATTCGAGATGCCCTCCACCATCTGGTCCAAAACAATCCTTTCCATCTATTTTCCCCTATTACTATGTGGAAAACGCATTTTTCTCCGAGGTTAGGTCATAATATCAGGTCATAAGGTCAACGTCTCCCAGATGCAGTTGTTGCCCTGAAAATCTTTTCAATTTCCCCTAAGTGCAGGACATGCTCTCACCACGAGTCCTGGGAACCATAACCCACAGTGGTTTCCTATCTGCTCTCTCAGGCTCACTCCAGAACATATGGTCATCGCACTCTGTTCCTTGCCCTCTACTTTCTACTGAGATCATAGATATGATTTAATACGTGCATAATGCACATGTTTTCCCCCAAATGTGCTTAGGTGTTCCACTATCATGCCCGTGGCATCTGGTTTCCTTGATCTGGAATGTTCTTTATATCTTCCCATGTCCTGATTGATGCTACTGCTTTAGGAAGTCATTCATGACCAACACCTCCACTGTCTGCACCCACTAACAGCTGGCAATTTATCTGGACGTCTCCTGCACAGAATTAGTCCTTTTTCAGGATATGAGCAGTCATCACCATACATGGAGTTCATTATATCACAATCATATGTGACTTCCCGGTAGACTATACACTTCCCAACACCAGAGTCCATGTCTGCTCATCTTCACATCCCAAGGGACTATCACAGTTCCTGGCTCATACTTATTTAATAAATGGATAGTTATAAAATGGTAATTCCACACTAACTTCTGTTTGGAGGGCTTCTTATTTATTAAACACAATCAACTACACCAGATATCAACACACTGGCATCCCATCAGAAGTAAAGTATTTCCATTACTCCAGGAATGTAACACTGGCCAAAGGTAAAGGTTAGGGTATATAAACCAGGGACCTAAAAACATTTAAAACCACAACTGTGGGGAACTCCCTATCACTGTAGGAAGGGAGAGTGATCTTAAAAGAAACCATTTCCTGCCCCGCCTCAGCACCTAGTTTTTCATGAGGGGGCCTAGAGAGAATAGGAGGAAGAAGGAAAAAGAATTGGGGTGGAGGGGAAGCCATGTTTATCTAAGTCACCAATATTTTCCAGGTTCTTAATGTTTATCCTGGAAACAAGACTGGCTAAACTCCTAAGACCCTATTTCACTTTTATGAATTCTTCTCTGGTTTACCAACAGATAATTCTGGGATGATTTTTCTAATACCCATAGCCCAGTTGACTTTCCACAATTCCTCTTTATGATAATGGAACTTATTCAGAAGATTCATGTGAGCCCACAATCAAATGAAAGTTACTGTCCACAACAATATGTTCTGCTTCCCAGGCAGCCCCTCTTCTGCTATTTCCTGACGCTTTACAGACTTCACACCCAGCCATCAATCACAAGAGAGTGCTGACTTATTTTCCTTGTGGGTTATAACCACGGCCTCTGTAACAGCCGGCTCTGCACAGGCTGGCTGGACTGAGGACTGGAACCAGAGCTGCCTTGTGGGGGAGGACGAAAGACACAGCCATAAGCCCCTAGGCCCTTGGAAAGTGCAGCTTAATTATTTTAATACTGTGTCCTCCCTCAAGCTTCTCTCTCAAGGATCCAAGGAAACAGTCCCCAAACCTACTGCCTTCTAAAGCCATCACCTGTTTCCTTCCACTGCTAGGTTTGATTTCAGACCAGACAGGGCTTCCAAGGGGAAGGAACAGGCATACGCTTAATTGGGGTTGGGGGAGAGGGAAGAGAGCCTCTGCCACCATCACCCCAAGCAGGAAGGCAGGCGGATTGTGTGTCTATCCTGAGTTCAGCTTGGCTACACCACAAACTCAGCTTTCTGTAATCCACACAGTCACCCCATGGAATAGATATTGTTATTCACATTTTACAGAATGGGGAAGTTCAGAGAGAAGAAATCCATTACTCAATAGTACATACTTAATAAATATGGCATCACAGATTAATAAAGGGATGTTTGATTCCAAAATCCATGCTATTTCTGCCATGCCAAATTACCGCCTCCTCCAGGAAGTCTCCATATGAATGGGCAGGAGGCTGAACAGCTATAACCACAGCACACAGCAAATGGGACAAAGACTGTCCCCACCCTTCTGACTCTGTACTCCACACTGAACTGCCAATCTCCCCTGGTAGAGACTGCCAAGCATCCACATATCCTAGTCTCTAAGTTACCCATCAATTTCCACTTGAAGAGGAAAACAACAATCACCAAAGAGATGTAGGCTTCTGGGGCGAGACCTCCTCTTAAGCCACAGCTATCACTGTAGAACCGGCCACTGTTTTACTTTTAGTCTCCTTCCTGCCCTAATTTGTGCTCAAAACCATAAGTCAGGGTAGATCTTTCTAAAGTGTGAGCCTGGGCATCATGCTCCTCTGGACAAAACTTCTGTGGCACCCACTGCTCTCAAGATAAACTCCCCCTGCCCACTTAGAGGTGGAATGTTCTTCATACCCTGCCCCACCTGGCCTGTTGCCCAGTAGCATCTCCCATCACTCTATTATTCAGTCATTTCAATATTTTTTATTCATGCCTGGAATTCTCCTTCCTTCTCTCCTAGCCTGGAGACAGCCTCTGCTCTCATGAAGGACCAACTCCTGTCTGTGGTCTCTTCTGAGAAGACCACCCTCACCAATAGTCTCTCAGCACTTTGTACTCACACCCTCATCTCCACTGAGCACTCAACACCCTCCCTCACATGCAAGAGTCTGTGTGTTCTGTCTCTTCCAGGGATGTGTACTATCAACTTGAAAAGTAATGGCAGGTGTCACAGCACCTAGGTAAGTGGACATACATCGATTAACTAGACCTAAGACCCATCTCCATGGAGATGTGGCAATGGTCTGGTTTTGCTGGCAGAAATCTGAGGCTGGGTCTAATTTTTGTTTTTTGTCTTCTTAAAATGAACTAAATTCCACAGGTTGTGGTATTGAATGTCTAACTGTCCTAGGAAGAGCTGAATGGTTCTAAAATCAAGTTGAAGAGCTTTGAGGCAAAGGAAGCCTCTGAACCAGTTTCATTAACAATCTTGCTGGAATAAAACACTTGGGCCTTAAATGTGCTTGTTTTCTTTAGGTGCTGTGGCATGCTATTGGAAAGCCCTCTAGATGGAATCCATACTCTTTTGAGACTGCCTTTGTTTTTGTTTCATATGTAGAAGTCGGTAGACTTCTTAGAAGTTGGTAGCAGCCTCATCAAAAGAAGTGAGTGTCTCATCAACCAAAAATCAAGAGGAAATTGAGCTCCCTTTGGAATGAACATGCTAGTGCCTCATATCTAACTGCAGCATAAGCCATTTACTTTACTTTGCCTTTAAGATAGGGTCAAACAATGCACCAGCCCAGCCTCGAAAGGCACACAATGCATCTCACTTTAGCTCAAAGGAGAGACCCCAATATGGTGTGTGTGACCAGTGCCTGGGTAAACCAATGCACATCTCTGATGCATCTAAAACAGGATGTGCTCAGGCCTTTGGAAACTCACCACCTGCCTGAAAAACATTTCCTTCAGCCAAGAGCATATCAGGTTTGATCTTTACCCTTAGTTCACAGACTAGCCTGTGTTGGGTCTAACCAAAAGGACAGAGATGAGACCTGGACCTGGCAAGTCCTTTCCGGACCACATTGTCCCCGGCTATCACTGCCTCACCAGGCCCAGTCTGACTGAAAATGAGAGCTAACAGAAAACTCTGCAAGTGTGGAGGGGAAGGGGTGTTGGGGCTGGGCCATGTAGCCACAGGCAGATGGTTGGTATCTCCTCTCCCATCCAAAATCCCCACTTCTGTATCTTCCTAAAGACAGAAAGGGAGACAGAAATCTAGAAGGAGAGTAGCATTTTTTATGCTTCTAGTTCTTCAGTTTTAAAAACTGTTGAGCTATTTTTGCTTTTGACAAATATCTATTTTCCTCAGTCCTCTCCCAACAAAGTTAATAAGTCAAGTTGTCATCTATATATCTGCAATTCTTTGATTTTACTTTGGCTTACTGGGGAGGGAAGACTTGCAACCTCTGCCCCACAGAAATGGGCTAGTTAAGCTAATCTTCCTTGGAAACCTTTGTAAAAACAACTCTGAAGCAGCTAGTCCAACGGTCAACAGAGCTCTGCTAGAAAGGCTGATTTTCATACAGTGGGTTTGTTGACAGTGGTAACCACCAATAAGCTAGAAATCCTCTTTCCTAGAAGCACATGACAGCAAGCTGAAGACACATTTCCTTGTTTAAACTAGACTAACCATCACAGGTTTCACTGAAGTGGGTCATTTTCACAATGTTCTTATGTGTGTGCCATGGCCAACGCCAGAATCCACCTGGATCACTTTGGGATTCGGCAAGGTCAGGCTTACCTGTGATCATGCTCAGTGCTGACAGGCAGGCTAAGGCTTGGATATCAAGGTTCAGGCTCTGCAAATTTAAGGAAAAGTCTTTAATGGAGTCGAGCCACTCCCCAAATCCACGAAGGCACTGAAGTCGGTGCAGGACAAGTCCATTGCAGAACACAAACTTATCTTCAGCAGTGTTTGACCTGGGGGGCGGATGAGGAGACACATGAAACAGGTCTATTGGGTCTGGCCAATGTGATAACATGATAACAGGCAGACAGCCAAGGGGCAGTGTTCAGAACCTCAAGGGTACTGTAAAGTATGCTGAGGCACCTCCGAGGAACAAGACTATGTACCCAGGAGGTAAACAACTGGAACTGCCTGTCTGCGAAAACTTACTGGGGAGCGTCAGCCCCAGGCGAGATAGTTTCATGACACCTGCTGTCTTATTCCTCCATTCAGTTGCTGGCTTGCCCTTGGACAGGATATGGAGTAGCAGACAATCATGGACTACAGAGGTGAAGCCCAGTGACGGGTCCCATGGAGACTTCTGAGTTGGGCTTGTCCCTTGTTTTCTTAAACGCCAAAACAGATAAGACCTGAGGCTAGACACTATAATTCCACTGTGCAGATTGTAAAAGCATCAAGTCCTTCCAAGCACCAGAAGTCAATCACAAACTAAAAAGTCAATCACAAACTAACTGAAAATTTGTATTTCCTTCTCTCTTTGAACAGTGGGGCTGCAGAGGACTATTTATGTGGCTTGGTAGTAAAGTGCTTGTCTATCATGCATGAGGGCTGGGGTTTGATCCCCAGCACCCGCCCCCCCAAATTAGAAAATGATTATTTCCATAATCATCATAATCATTCCATTCATCTCTTAAGAAAGGTGCTCTGAAACCTCTAGTTGGACATGATAGCTTAGCAGTGTGACCTTGGACATTCCTTAAATCTCTCTGGGACTTCCTTTCCCTTATCCGTAAAACAGGAATTCAAATTGTTAACTCCTAAGGTATTCGAGGGAATTACATAAAATAAAGGATTGGAAAGCCCATGAACTATGTCTTTAGTACACAGGAGGATGCAAAAATATTAGTGGTAACTAATTCTGAATTCCACGTGGTCCTTAATTTAATCTTAGTTTAACTTTATAATATCTTATTACACATTTATCTATGTTGGCCTGTCACATTCACAAGTCAACATGCTTTTTGGATGAATAGCTTTATTCATTCCTTCACTCAGCAAGTATTTACTGAGCACCAAGTATGTGCCATTATTAGAGTCAGGCACTGGAGAAAACTTGGTGAATGAATAGGACAGATATGGTGCCTGCCCTAGTAGAGCTTACTGTCTACTCTGCTGTGCACATATTATATGACAGTCACAGTGCTGCTGGGCTCTGGCATGCACTGAATTGGCTGTACATTAAGCTAATTACCAACACTATAATTGTAACTTCACCTTTCCTCTTCCCCTGATCCTGCCACACAGGGCACATAGGACAGAATGATTCAATCTTAGAGTTTAAACATGGGCCTATGACTGCGGGAATCCAAATGAACAGAGCACAGGTTAAACACGCAGGTGCTGGATTTCTTCCTATATGATTTAGTGAAATGTTGGTATCATCTCCTAAGAATAGGAAGATGGAAATAAGCATGCGTGAATAAAAACAGTAATAAAGTTTAAAAAAGAGCTACCTGTGGGATATATGAGAGGAGCTTAGAGAGATCTGAAGCCTTTTGAAAAATCACTTCCCCTTGTGTTTGGTGTTACTGAGCATGAGAGGCTGGACCAAATCTTTTGATGGGGGGCTGGGGATGTGGCTCAAGCGGTAGCACGCTTGCCTGGCATGCGTGCGGCCCGGGTTCGATCCTCAGAACCACATACAAACAAAGATGTTGTGTCCACCGAAAACTAAAAAATAAATATTAAAATTCTCTCTCTCTCTCTTTAAAAAAAAAAAATCTTTTGATGGGGTGTGTGTGTGGTGGTGGTGGGGGGTGCTGTTCTTTTGGAGTAAAAGCTGGGGGTTGTGAAGCTGTGGAACTCTTTAGAGCCCCATCAAATATACTAGAACAATAACTTGCAATAGAAACTTATGAGGTAAACACAGCGTTCACAAGCAAATACTTACTCCCAGGAAATACCGTATCCACCATGAGAATCTTCCTAGAACCTTAGAATATTGAGGCTGTTAGGGACTTCAGACATTAGCACATTCATCCTCCTTATTTCACAAAGGAGGAAACTGGATTTCCAGTTAGGCAATAACCTGCTCAGGCTCTCACAGCAAACGCATGTTAGAATTGGGACTAGAACCCAGAAGTCCTGGTTGCCTCCTCTGTGTTCCTTCTGCTACCTACTGCTAGTGTTTCTAATACCTGATCATATTTCCTATTTGCTCCTTGAGCAAACTTTTCGCCAATTATTTGGTTGCAAACAAAGAAGTTTGCAATCTTTTTCAAAGGAAGAAATAGACTGAAGGAAGATGAAATCATAGTAATTACCTGATGGAAAGTCTGAGAACAAACAGCTCCAAAAAGGCTGATTCTATAAGTAATGTCTGATCTTCTTTGGGGAGATCAGTAAATCCTGGAATCTTTTCTGCCCAGCTTCTGGATACATCAATGGAGGCTGTCAGAAGGTTGTAGAACTGTTGCACGTGCTCAGCATCTGTGCCTGCAGTGGCCTGGTCAGTGGGACAGTACTAAAATGCAAATCACAGAGGGTAGCGTCACCTCCATTCCCTGGGAATAATACCACCATTTACAAATTGGCTCTTCCCAGTCTATCAATGCCTCAATCTTTACATTTATTTTAAGGTTCCAAGGTTTATAAAATCCTTTTGCATTCACAGTCTCATCTGATTCTCACAATGACCCTGTGACATAAATAAAGTGAATTCATTATTATTATTCAATAGACAAGGAAAATGGTGTATGTCCCTTTAGTTTCCAGTCCTAACTTCTCCTGCAAACATCTGGGGAGCTTAAAAAAGAAAAAAGAAACACTCGATGCCCAGAGATTCTATCCCCAGAGATTCTAATTTAATTGGTCTGGGGGTGAGATCTGGCCATCAGAAATTTTAAAAGCTCTCCAGATGATTCCAAAGAGCAGCCCACATTGAGAACCACTGCCCTAAGGGTTTGGGTCTGCATGGACCTCCAGGGTCTAGCGATTCTGGGATAGTACAGTGGTTTCCCAACAAGAGGCCATATTAACCCAGCAGCTCTGGATGATGTTCTGGACCAACAGCATTAGCAACACCTGGGAATTTGCTAGAAATAAATCTCTGGCCCCAACCCAGACCTACCTAACCAGAAACTCTGGGGGCAGGCCCAGCAGACTGGTTTCTTCAAGACCTTCAGGTAATTCTCATGCACACTGAAGTTTGAGAATCATGGATTTAACCAATAGGAGAAAGAAACATTGTGTGTGTGTGTGTGTGTGTGTAGGGGGTGAAGTGTGACCTTGGCAGAGCTTAGGCAACTGTGTGCCTTCAGACACAGGACTTGTGGCTACTTAATGAAATGAAACAAAATTTAAAATTCTGTTCTTCCTCATACTAGCCACATTTCAAGGGCTAAATAGCCAAATATGGAACAGAATGTTTCTATCGCTACAGAAAATCTACTGGGCAGTACTGATCTAGAAAGCTGCAAAAGGGAAGAAGAAAGGTGTAGCAGGAATGAAGTCTCTACCTAGCTCTTGGATTTTCTGGTATAAGGACCAGTTTGCTTGAATCATGGAGGAAAAATTTTTCTGCTTTGGGCAGGAAGGTTGATATAGCAAGATAATACTCAATGAACAGCCAACAACACAGATTCAAGAGATATGCAGAAGCACACATGTAAATATGTGTGCCTTCACATTAACATGGCTTAGTAAGATTTTGCATCCCTTCTCTCCATTGATCCTCAGGGGCAGGGATTTTAATCCTTATTTTACAGAGGAGCAAACTGAGACTCAGAAGCTTTCCCAAGTCACATAAGTGGCAAGCCAGGACTTAAACTGGCTCTGGGACTTCAAGTCCTTTACTTCCTGTCTGATGTTACTAGTTGGTAGTTACTGAGATCTTTAAAAAGCTTCTAGCTTTACAATAATTAGAGCTCTTCAGGTAGGTATTTATTGGCCCCATACTTCTATCAGCAGCACAGTGGCTGGCACATAACCACCCCTCAATAAATAGTTGTCAAATATTTTTTTTCAATGAAAGAGTAGTCAGGGGAGTGCCTAGGTTAGCTGCAATACCCAAGCTGATTGGAAGAGAAACAGTTACTAAGCAGGAAGGTATTGACTTTAGAGCTACCTAGGTGTGAGGACTAGGATCTAGACTTAATTTGGTCTTTTTGTTTTTATGGGTTTTTTTTTTTATTTTTTAGTTGTTGATAGACCTTTATTTTATTTACATATACACGGTGCTGAGAATTGAATCCAGTGCCTCACACATGCCAGGCAAGTGCACTATGGCTGAGCCCCAGCCCCAGATTTGGTCTTTTTAAATTTGCTTCTTTCCAAGAAGCATCAAGACATAACTGAAGAAACATTAGACTCAGAGCCTAGGTACTTTATATCAGTTTTGTCCTGGCCCCTAATTTGTAAAAAAAAAAAAATGTAGCTCTATTTCACTTTTCTGAGCCCAGTTTTCTGTTCTGTAGAATAGGGATAATAATACCATTTTAAAAATTTTGTTGTGATGATTAAATGTGATAATATATGGAAAGGGGCTGACATGTAGAACAAGTGTAAAGAACGATGGTGGTGATGATATGGGTATAGGTTGTGATAGTTGAAATTGTCACCATTCCTCAGCTTCCTTATTTATTGAATGGGGGGATAGGCTAAAGCATGAGTTTTCTCATTTTCACTCTGGTTTTCTAAGATTCTATAATCAGGTCCAGTTTAAAGCTCTGTCTCCTTTGTTTCAACAATCTCACAAAGTGTCTGGGATTTTATGAAACCATGAATATTGTGTGATGCTCTGGACCATGGGACTAAAGTCCAGGAAGAAGTATGACCTTCCCAAGGGCATTCGAGGATGTTGCATGGCCTCTTATCACAGGCATTTCCTACCACTGCCTTTCAGCACACACACCCTTAACTAGGGGAGAAAAGAGGAATTTTTCTTTACTTTCTCCTGTGAATCTAATACTATATACTTTCCAAAGGCAGAATAAAATTCGGGGGAGGTCTCCCTTTGAAAAGTTGATAGCACTACATGAGAAACCTCCTAGTGAGTGGTAGTACGAAGAAGAGGAAAGTATGTTGGACCCAGTAGCAGGTCCTCTGGGCTGTGGCACTGACCTGCTGTGTAACTCTAAACAAATCCCTTAACTTCTCTGGCTCTATTTCTGTCTCTGAAATAGGAATCAACTGGATTAGCTAATCACTAAGATTTCTTCTGAGTCTTGCATTCAAAGATTATAAATATTGCTAAAAATCACAACAGATACGATGTTATTGCCTAGAATTTGACACCAACTCAGCATTATTTGTTTTTAACTGGTGGGTTAAATGGAGAGAAGAAGACTAAAAGATGTAAACTCTCCCCTGGAGATGGGATCTAACAGCCCCCTCTTGCATTGACTTCCCTGAACCATGGCTCCCGACTCAATAGTCACTCAGCTTCCAATATTTGTTCAGAACCCACCAGAGCGCGTAGCTTTCACCTGGGGTCCTCTGCAGGCCCCTGCCCCTGCTGAGCTCACATTTCACGCCTCCTGCACTCAGGGAAGAGCAGTCTCTGCCTGCCCTGTGTGTGTACTTTTCTCTGATGGAGCCCAGCAAGGAGGAAAGCCAGCAGGTCTGGCCTGTCAGTCTCTAGCCAGGCCCTCTGGGCTTCACCTGCAGTGATTCTGGTCCAAGTCCCAGAATTATGGAGCCAAACTGGATTCAGCCTGAGCCACCAGTACCTTGGGGGTGACTGGAGGGTCAGTATCCAATGCTGGGGGAAAAGAAAAATTATCTCCTCTAGATTTAAAAAAACAGAACAAAATATGCCAGATTCTTTGCCTGCCTTAGCAGTTTAGACTTGGAGTTGGAAGAACCAGATCCCCATTGCTGCTTCTGAGCTCTCTTACAGAGCTTTGACTCTGGGCAAGGTAAGTTCAGGTTCACTGAAGAAAATCTAGGAATGGATGTTTACTGATCTTGCCAATCAAATCCAGGCCAGATATAGAAGGATTTCTTAAATAAAATTTTCTTGTTTATGCTAATTTTTAATTCCAGCGTACAAGAATAGTTGAGCCATCAGAATCTGTCTTTACCACTAGTCAAATATGTAGCATTATGTCTACTGACAGCCAGTGCCAAATGGAGATTTCTCTGAAGCAACTAGAATGAGAATCCAGAGCCACAAACAATAGCAGGGGTATTATTTAAATGAAGATGCCTCTGTACATTTCATGCAATAATAACCCAACTGTATAAGTTAGATTTCAGCAACAGCCTAGGCCAAAAATAAGTTATTTGAAAGGAGAACATCAACCAACCCTAAAAAAAAATAGTGATGAGATGCTTTAATAGTTTAGTAGGATCAAATATTTATCTCATTTTCAGTTTTAGCTAGATATATAAAATATCCTAAGGATGTGTTTCTCTCTCCTTAGTATGTTACTTTTCTCTGGTCTTTATATCTCTAAAAATTTTAGACATGATCATTCTATGAGTCAAGCAATGTATTCTTAGGTTCTTACACTTTAAACAGTGATGTTTTAAAATTGGAAATGAATATATTTCCCCACAAATTTCTTCTTTTCTGATCTAACTGCCTGCCCTCCTCCCTTGCAAAAAGCCAAAGCCCATAAAACTCCCCTCCCCCGATGAATGACTCCACTGTAGTTCCAAATTTACCTTCTTTCTCTTTCTCAGGCATGAGAGCTTTCTGAGGGCAGGAGCTTTGTCTTGTCCAACAATCAATGTGTTCACTACCCTAGCACAGTGCCTGACATCTGACAGCCATTCAATAAATGTGTTAAAAAAATTAATGTCTTTCTGGAAAATCTGTATCTGTATTGTTCACTCTTTCTGAACCTGAGGAAAAACTGGGAAAGTCCAGGTCAAATTGATTGTCATTATTAAGACATATTGGTGACTCTCAAACCTTAATGTGCCAAACAACCAGTTGAGGCTCTTGTTAAAATATAAATTCCTGCCTGCATCCCTCTTCCCGCAATTCAGATTCAGAGGGTCTGGGTGTGGCTTGAGATTCTGCATTTTAATGCAAACACTGGAGTTTTTCTGGCTATCACTGCTCAGGGAAATCCTGAGCTGTACTCAAGAATGGAACTGTAGAACTGTAGCAGGTGTGATGGTTAGAGGGTCAGGGAGAGAAGGCTGGAAGGGACCACAGGAGTATATTTAGCCTAATCTCTCCACCATTCAGATGAGGAAACTGAGGCCCTTGGAGGGACAGGAACCGGCCTGAAATCATCTAGTGAATTAATCGTTGGCAGTTTGAGAGTGTCTTCTGTGAAGATTCATGAAACCACTCTTTTTTGGTCTTCCTCATGCTGCCTTCTCCATAGGTTTAACATGTGCTAGCTGCGCTGCCTCTTACAGACTATTCTGTGAACACTTAAATGCCATTTGCTGATGCCTCGTTTTATCTGGGCAGCACCTCTTGTATTTGCAGTCTGTTACTGCACTAAATGGCATTGATTACCAGAAAACATCCTAGTGTGCTGAAAATACTTGGAATGACCAACTAATGAGGACATTAAGTATATTTTCTCATTAGTAAGTATGCAGGCACTGAAGCCAAGCCCAGTGTCTATATATACTTGTATTGCTAAATTAAAAGCAACTGTGGGGCAGAGAATAGCAGCATTTCGAGAAGAAACAAATCAAACGTGACATGTTTTGACTGCACTGATGTACAATGATCTGAGCTCATTTTTGAGGGAGAGAAGTTTGGCCCAAAGGAGAAGTGAAGGTCCCAGAGCCAGGAATGCGTCACAGGGCTCAGGAGCTCTTGTTCTGGCCTCTTGAAGCATTCATTCCCTCTGTGACTTGGAACAAAACCCTTCCCTTTTCCACAAATGGAGAAAACTGCTCAATTTCTACCTTCCAGGCACATATGCTGTTACATGGAGATTAAAACATACCAGGGCTGGCAAGCATCCCCTTTCTCTACTGACCTGATTCACTGCGGGAAGATAGCACCTTTAATAAATTGTATCGGTCAAATCAGCTCTCAGACTTGAAGCTGACAGGGCAAATTCTTATTTAAATGTAATAAATTATAGACACATAATGTTAAAATCAGTTACTGCTGAGGAATGGGATCAGGCAGGTATAAATGAAGAGAAAACAATGTTCTTTTTTTTTTTTTTTCATTGTATCCACTTCTAAATGGCTTGTTTTTAAAAAAAAATGAATGGGTATCTATTACTATTATTGTAAATTTATGAATATCTAATAAATTGTCTATCTTTAAAACTCTAGTAAGTTGCCATTAAATAGAAGTGGCAATGTAATGACATGGAAATACCTTGAGTGATGTGATTTGGGTCTTAGCCTAGTTCTGCCCTGACCCTAGGCAAGTGAGTTCACCCCTTTAAGTCTTAACTTCTCTGAAAATATGGGGGCTGGATTAGATGATCTCAAGGTCACCTCCAGGTCTGTGAATTTGCAAATATAAAACTTTAAGGGAAAGGTTATGAAAGTTGAATTTCATTGAATGACAGACTTAAACTACTGAAAACATACATTTTGCCACAGAGGGGTTTAAGTAGAAATTATATAAGAATATATGCTATGGTGCCTGGTTCAAAGTAGGCAGTCAACAAATTCATTTTGTTTCATTCATTTCATGTACTAAGGTTTTGATAGAGGAAAAAAAAAGCAGGTTTAATTTTAATTAATATCAAGTTACTTAGCCATATGTATTCTTGTATGTATATGTATATGTAACCACTTGTATTTAGGGATGCTAAAGGAAATCTCAGAATCTTAAAAAAAATATTAAAGAGTTGGAAAGGACTTAATATGTCATCTAAAATAACCATACTTCTGGTGCTGCTGATCTCACACTTTGAGAGCAACTGCTTTGACCTCAGAGTGAGCTGGAAGAGGTCCCCTTCCTTCTCTATCCAGCTCTTCCTGTGGGAGCTGTAGTCCTTTTTGCCACAGAGCAAAAGAGTAACCTCATTCCACCAAATCTTCCTTTCTCTCTCTCTAGTTCCATTTCCTACAACCATCTCTTACAAGTTCCCAGAAACAGCATCCACATTCTTCTTAAAACCCAGCCTGGAACAATCTCAGTTTTTGAAGAGTGGTCTGACAGGACAGAGTCCGTGAGACCATACTGAATTTGGTTCTGGTCCAGTACTTCTAGCACTGCAGGAGGTAATTCAGCATCCCTCTCTTTCACCACACACATACTTTGTGAGTTCATATTGAGTGTCTATGGAATAAACTCCCGAGATTCTTCTTAACACGAACCACTGACAAGCCAAGGCTCTCCCACTTTTTTTCTTAATTCTAAATGCTGAGCTTCACATTTATTTTTGTTAACTTTCTTCATGATGGCTTCAGCCCTTCCTGTTCCAACCTGTCGAGATCACTCTGAATGTTGATACTGACATCCATCATATTAGCGATCCCTCCCAGCTTTCTGTCATCTGCAAATGTGATCAGCATGCTCCTATGTCTTCATCCAAGTTTTTGACGAAAACTCACTGTATTTTTTAAAAAGTCTTTTAATTTACTTGATTTTGGTCCAATTTTTGATAATTCTGTAAAGCTATCTAAAAAGTAGGAGAACCTAAGCTATAAAGTTCAACCTGAACTCCAAAACAATGCAATTAAAATAAATATGCTTTGCAAAATTGAGCCAGGCCCCAAAGGTAGTCTCAGTGTGACCCAGACTCTGGCATGGTCAATCTGCTATTTTGGACAAAGCTAACAATTAAATTGGATAAATGTTTGTTGATGAGGATGATGACTCTAGACTAACAGACTGAATGGTGCAGAGGGAAGCAAACACACTGGATTGATTTTTCAGTGTGGAAACAGTTCCCAGCTGGGACAACTCAAAGTGCTAGGGAAGGTTTGCCACTGAATGAGTTATTAGGCCACATAGGCTGATAATTGGATAATCCGGGGCCAAAATATCACTTCTGGGGCCTAACTTCATGGGATTGACCATCAGGAGTGATGTCAAATGCCCTGGAACAATGTCAGATTGTGCGTTGTAGCCTTGACCAAGGCAGTGCCTAGATGCTTCATTCACAAAGATGGACCACATGGGGAGGGGGAAGGGGGTACTTCAGGGAGAAGTCTTCATTCCCAATACTTTTCCAGCATCCACTGACTGAAATCAGAGAGGCAGTGAAGCTTGGTGTTAAGAAGCACAGAATTTGGCTTCACTATACTTGGCTTCTAAATTCTATCTCATATGCATGTTAGCTATGTCCTTGGGCAAATTAGTCCTTTAGCCTGTCCTAGTTTTAATTTCCTCATCTGTGCAATGGAGCTCATAATACTTACCTTAATGGTGTTACTGCACGGTACCTGACATATGTAGTGTTCTTACTCATTAATATATTCAACTAATGGCAGAGTAAAAAAGTTTGGTCAAGGAAATAACATATAAAGCTCTGTGCTAAAACTTTGACAAGTATTATCCATATTTAATTTTCATGAACAACCCCAGGAAGTAGATATTATTGCCCTATAATACAGATGAGGAAACTGAGATATTAAAAGATTCAATCAGTTGCTCAAGGTGACCCAACTAGGAAATGATGGTGTTGGGATTTTCATCTAGGCATGCATGCTTCCAAAGCCTAGGCCCTTAACTACTGCATTATTCTGTTATACTATTATCTGAGACTTGACTTTAGTTAAGAGCTGCTACTTGTAATCAGAAGAAGAGTCTTCAGCCTTTGGTGCTAAGGATCAACTGTGCTTCTCCTAAGGAGTCTTGTGATCAGGTATAGAGAGGAGGCTTCACAGTCTAGTGAGGGTGGGGATGTGGGAGAGAGGATCACAGCAGGTACACCAATCATTTCTGTCAACACTACAACTGCAAAGGGGGGCACACAGCAAAGACACACTTGCATACTTTGCCAGACAGTTAACTGGATGACTGAAATGCTGACTAGACCTGGGGAAAGCAATCTGGTAGTAGCTGCCTATCAGATCAACCAAATGGAGACCCCTGTACTGGTCTGGCTTTTTCTGTATTTCTAAGTTTTCTTTTCATCAAGTGGAGATAATGATCCCTACAGTCCATGACTGGTTAAGGATTAAATAAGACAATATACCACAATGTCTTGCATATAGAAATTATTCAGTAATTGTGATCTTTTTCTCTTTCCTTCCCTCTTCAGCCAGACCCTGTCTTATTAGAAGTTTGCTTTTCTAAATCCTTGAAAACAAACAAACAAAAAAACCTGCCTTTCAGTAATGTTTGTACATTTTCTCAGAAAATCCTTTCTCATGGCTCTAAATTTGCAGAAATCCAACTGATGAGATTTTATTATATCTTATATGAAATAAAAATGGTGATATGTTTTGGCTGATTTAAATCACAACACCGGTAACCATTTAAGGTTTTAAAAGTGTTTCCATGATTTTTGTGTAGCTGATGTTTGAAACATCCCTCTGGGGTTAAATATTGTAATCATCTCCACTATAGGGATGAGAAAGCTGAGAGCAGGAGCCAGGTGACACAGGCAGGAAGCAGCAGAGGCGGTGTTCCATCCCCGTCCTCCTGACACCACCTGATGTCAAGGCCAGAGCTCACTCCTCTCCATCAATGGTCTAATTCCTCTGAATAAGCAGCAAGTCAATCAATTCCAATGCAGTTGGAGAAACTGCTTAAGAATAATTTGAGACTTACCCAGAAGGTTTGACCATAATATGGAAACAAAAAGCAGAAAACAGTAGTCACTTTGTGGAGACCATGAAAAGAAATCTACAAATTGCAGTTCACCTGTGCAGATTTTCATTGGCACAACCACTAGGAACCCCACCCCAATGGTCATGACAGGTGCAGCACTGTCAGGGTCATTTGTTAAGGCATTTAGAGATCTAATAACACAAATTGTTTGATGCAATAGATGCACTAAATTGCAAAATAAAAGGAGAAATGTAGAAAAGGTATGAAAACTGACTAGCATGGTGCCAAGCACAGTCATTCAATCAACTCATACTACTAGCATCATTAATAGAGATGCTGATCATTCACTCCAAAGCAAGACATCATAAAACTTACTCTGGAATAATCAAGATCTCTGGGTGTTGAGTCTGTTAAAGCTCGGACAAGGGCATTCATCATACAGATCGGAGGAGAAGGTGGGGAGGGCTGAGAAGGTTCCTGCTGTAGTGGGCTCTTTGGTTTGGAAGGCAGCCGACCTCTCCTCCCTTTCAGACTATCTGTACGAACAACTGATGCAGAGAGAGAGACATAAAACAATCCTTAAGATTATGTTATAAAAAAAGATTATATTATGATTAGGTATAAATCACAAAAAAAGGAATCAAAATACACCACAGTTGGACAATTATTACTGGAACAACCATTAAAAAGTGGTAAGAAGTTTGAAATAATATTCAACAATGATTTAATGTGAGTTGAAACAGGCAAGCAAAAAAAGACAGCCCATACTTACGTTTGGTAATGAATTAGCCCTGAAAGTCTCCTTCTTAAATAGAACAAAGATGCATGTACACAAGCTGTCTATTGATTTTGAGAAATTAGAATTAGTAGTCTGTGGCTATTTTTAAACATAAAATACATCATACAAATAAAATGTTGGAAGGAAAGAGATCCTAGGAAAATTTACCATCCCATCATAATTATTAACATTTTTTTGTGATGACTGAAAATGCATATAAGCAAAGTGGATGAAAAGCATGACATTCGTACCTTCTTTAACCATTCCGACACTGAGACACTTCTGAAATCGACAGTACTGACATCGGTTTCGACGTCTCTTGTCTACTGGGCAGTTTTTATTTGCCAGGCAAACATATTTTGCATTTTTCTGCACCGTTCTCTGAGAAAATACAATACAGAGATAGTCAACTAATAGTTTCTGGAAAGAGGTAGGACCTGACAAGATGTATTTTAATTACAATGTGAAAAGCGACAGTGCAATTCGTATAATTAGATAAATTTAATTTCCTAACACGCTAGCCTGCAGGAAAAACAATTTTATTAGTGTTAGCTGCTGACAATGAAAATCATCTCGGATTGTTCTGAAGCAAGTCTCAGGAGACACCCAACTCTGAATGATAAAATCATATCTGAAATTACCAGGTCAACATATCATACCTTGGAGGATTGGATTATCTCCACTTTTAATATCCCTTTGGGAACAATTTTCCACTTTGTTCCACTCCCCTGATTATTGCTGACCTTATTAAAATAAAATCAAAATTATCTGGGATGTACTTTGTATGCTATCACTATTGTAAGTCAAATATCTCAGTAACTGGCTTTGTTACTCAATAGAGATGAAATCGTAAAAAAGCAAAATAAGGGTTTGTCTTGTTAGAACATACAGGAAATAAGGTTTTAACTCAAAAAGAAATTAGCTTATTTAGCTTAGTTTATCATTAAAGGATATATATGGTAAACTGGCCATTTTTCATTTTTTAAAGCAAAATCTTAATACTGAATACTAAAAGTCACTGACAATAAAGAAAAAAGAAAAGAAGAAAGAAAGGAAGGGAGGAAGGAAGGAAAGAAGAACAAACAAACCCCAGGAGACAAATAAGAGCAAGAGAAAGATAGAAATATAAAAGTTATATATTTTCAGTGCAAATTCTCATTAACTGGTTATTTCATAAGTGACTATTGATGCAGACACCAAAACAGCTATATTATAAAAGACACATTATAAAACTTGGGCTTTGATATAAAAACATCGTATTTTTCAAAATCTGTAGAATTTTGAAATGACACATGTAGAAATAATTAAATATACTTTATGCTCCAAAGTAAAAAAGAAATGCTTGTTTTTTAAATTGAAAACATTTGTGCAAATGGATACATTTCATCACTTAGGGCAAAACTGCTCAGAAATTACCTGGATCTATACAACTCCAAATACAGTAGAAAGTTGGAAATCTATTTGGGAAGTATGGCTCCATTAAAAAAAGAAAAATTCAGATAACTTTGGCTTTGTGACCTATTTTGCATTCAAAATTCTAGGTTTCCTTTCAACCTTTCCTTTATTTTCAGTGATCCTCATCCCCATGTTTCAGTTTTCATCTTGTCACCTTTTAATTTTATCTTAGAATATGGTTTCTAAATTGCTTATATAAGACTTAAAAAATATAACAAAGCCAACCTCTCTCAATTTTAAGACATATTTGCTCAGTTTAAAATGCGAAATTCTGAGACACAAACACACTTTTGAGTTTCCAGCATTTAAATTTTCAGCAGTCTGTAAGGATAGGAAACTTGTGCTTTCTGAATGAAGCTCTCTTTCATTGAACATGCAGTAATTTCTAACACTCTATTTCTTGCCATTATCCTCAAGGCGATATGCCAATTTAAGTGCTAGTGGCATTTTGCTTCAGGTATACATTTTCCCAATAACCTGAAGCCTTCCCCACATTTATGTGTGCCTACACAGTTTAAGGACAGAGAGAGATCGTTACGGTTCAATCACTGGATTCCCATCATTAACTGCACTTCATGTCACATTTTTAAAGAATTCAATTTAATGGTAGAAAGCCACTGGGTAAAACCTGCTCCCGTTCCTTTAATTAACAGATCCGTGGGGTTGTTCTCCCCCATCCTACCCCCACCATTTCAAGTATAGATTTGATTTCAAGGGATTGTGGAGAAAAGGGAGGCTGTTGGAAAGCACTTAATGGACATTTCTAGATTCAGAATGTATGACCACTCCCATATTTTGGTCAACTCTAAATTATTTAGGAGTGATTCTATTTGCAGACTACTCATAATTCTCTTAATTGTTTTCCATTCTTTTCTTCCATATCCTGCTTTTTCCCACTACTCTTAATGGTGTACAAATTAAACCTGCTAAGGGAATGCAGTTACTTCAAAGTTACCCTGGTTAAGAGAAGGAAAAACATGGCTAAGGTTCTGCATTTAAGACATCATAATCCTGCATACCTGTAGGGCACTTTACACATTGCAAAGTCTTTCCATAAGCATTTTCTCATCTATCTTCAGAATTCAATTAATGACACGATTACCATCTCCACATCAAAAATAACTGTTGCTTGATGCTAAGTATTCCCATCCACAAACATGTGCATTTTTACAAATACTTTGTAGTTTTCATTTAATAATGAACTATTGTTTATAGCCTTTTAAGAATTCTAAAGTGCTTTTGCATATATTTTTATCTCCTTGAATACTCACAGCCTTTCTCTGAGTTTTATTCATAGATAGGGAAACTAAATCCTAGAAAGAAGTGTCATGCACAATGTCATACAATTGGTAGGTGACAATTTAGAGGTCCTATTTGGGTCTTCTCACTCAGTTCCTGAACATTCCCAGATATATCTTATTGGCCTCCAAATCCAAGTTACCCAATCATGATTCTGTTTCCCTTCTCTCTCTACCCTGACCAGCAATGGACAGGGTAGGGAGTGACTTGTGTGGGTTTACAAATGCCTGAAGTAATGGTCAATGGCATGGGGCGGAAGAAGAGTGGCACAGAAGTAAATGTCTGAAGCAGTCTGGGAATGGCAAGAGGCAGAGCAGCAAGAGAATGAGTTCCCTTCACCAACCTGGGTGAAAATAACATTGAACTCAGAAGTCAAGAGAAGCCAGCTGGACCCATCCTGTGTGGAGTTAAATCACTGTGTACAGCTAGCTCAAGGGTTCACCTCTTTTGGGATTAGCTTCCTCAGGGGAAGATGGATGACCCTCTCACTGCCAAATTCTCCTCTGGGTTTATAAAAGAATGAACAATGTTGAAACATGGCACTGTGGGTGGTATATAGAGAAGGAAGAGCTCCTAGATTAGTGCATTAGTGAGGTCCCCAACTTCTATCTCCAGTGAAGGGAGCCACCCAAACTCCATCTAGCCAGTTACACTATCTATTCTGCCAATGCAGAGCTATGAAAAGGGTAGGTGCTTTGGGGACACAAAAACATGAGTCAGCATCCTGCCTCCATCCCACTCTGAGTGTGTGTCCTGCGCCAGTTCAATGACCTCTCTCACCCTCCCTGACCCATCTCTGAAACAAGGATAATCATCAAGACACTGTTGACCAAAATAACTTTTGAGTGGTCCGAATTCAGTCTCAGGTCTGGTTAATTCTAGAGTCTCATCTCATACTGTGAGGATTAAGCAAGATACAAATGTCCAGGGCCTGCCATGCAGATCCAATCCCCTCAGACTCTCTGGATGGACAGAAAAGGAATTGCCTTTTTTTTTCCCCATTGTAGAGGTTACAGATCCTTCTGACAATCTGCTGAAAGCTCTCTCCAGAAAAGTGCTCATAAGGCAATGTCAGATCAAGAACCCTCACGTCCATCTCTGGGTGGCCTCCTGACCATGGGCCTCAAGTTTAAAACCCCCAGGAAAATGGGTCTAAAGTGTAAAGGCGATACCTCTCAAACCGTGAACAACAAGAATTACTTCTACACACACTAAGATGATAGCTTCAGTTAAGGGGCTGGCTGCAGAGGGGAGGGGGGCGCCAGGAAGAGGTGTGCGCTCACCTTGAAGAAGCCCTTGCAGCCCTCACAGGTGCGCACCCCATAGTGCTGGCAGGCGGCGTTGTCCCCGCACACAGCGCAGGTGCCCTCTCCGGAAGACGAGCTCCTGTTGGGGGGCGATGGCAGGCTGGGACTCTCGCCCAGCAGGCTGGTCGCGGTAGGGGAGGCAGTGAGGCCCAGCGGCGGGAAGGCCAGCGCGGCCGCTCTCTTGGCCAGCGGCAGCCCGTATGGGTGGCCCTCGAGCGCGGCAGCCTGGCTGCCAGCGGCGGCCGCGGCTCCCAGCGGCAGGCTGAGTGCTGCAGCGGCCGTCGGGTCATAACCGAGGTGGTGGCCGCCGGCCGGGCTGGGCGCTGGAGGGTGTGGCGGCGAGGGCTTGAAGTGGAAGAGCGGGAAGCGCGAGCCCGCCACGGTGGACACTGCTTTCATCGGCGGGTCCAGCAGCGGGCCAGGCGCAATGCAGCCTGGAGCCGAAGGCAGCGCATCTTCCCACAGCGCCCCCGCTTGCGGGGGGAAGCCCGGAGTGGTAGGGGTGGACGGCGGGGACTGCTTGAAGTACATGGAGGTGCTGGGCAGTACCTCGTCTTCCGGGCCAGAGGGAGGAGGAATGGACGGCTGCTGCTGCTGCTGCTGGTGATGGTGATGGTGATGGTGGTGGTGATGGTGATGATGATGGTAGCCCTGCGCGCGGCCCTCTTCCATCTTGATCAAAGGCCGCGGCCCAGAAGGAGGCATTTGGTACAGGCAGGAGGGCTTGAGTTCGTAGCTGCTGGAGTAACCCTCCATGAAGGTACTGAAACTGGGCAGGGACGTCGTGGCAGTGGCCGTGATCTCTGTACTGCCGAGGTCCATGGTCAGCTTGGCATAGTCGGGGTTCATGATTTCCGTGGTGTATTCAGAGCCATACGTCTGTGCTGCATAACTGGACCCCGGAGGCGAAGGGCTATACTGGGCTTGCACGCAGGGCATATCTGCAGGGGCAGAGAAAAGGATCTTTCAGAAATAAGGCAGCACTGGACTCACTGCTTTCTACTCTGGGAAGCACAGGAAGTGGCATCTTTCTGTTAGCACAGACTTTCTTCCTCCCTGGGAAGTTAGCTGAATCCTGAAAAGGGGCCACAAGACCCAGAATCTGGCCTCCTGGGAACCTCAATACCCATCTTCTCTCTTGCCCTGTTTTCCACCAGACCTGGGAACTTGATATCTTTCCTCAAAAGCCCAGAGATGTATTTTTAAAAGTGGCTTTGAGTGCTATAAACTAATTGATGTGACTCCTCAGTCACAAGCTGGGAGGACAAAGGAAAAGCCACTGAATGACCTGTTGGTTAATTTTGGGAGAAAGAAAGTCTATTGGTCTCCCAAGCCACACATATTGATCTGTAAATTTATGAGTTAGTCAAAAAAGTTGTCCTGTGTGGGACTTACTGCCCAGTGACATTTTAACATTTTATGAGTGCCAACTGAGGCTGCCCACACACGTTGTGGTTGCTTTTCCCCACCCCCTCCACACTCCTCTAGCAGCCTGTACAAACTGGACCCTTGTGATGACTTCAGCCAGCTAGGTGGTGAGGTAGGAACATAGGCCCAGGAAATGGACTAGAGGGAGTTTGTGCCATCTGCAAAGAAAAAGACCAGCAGCTGCAACAAAACACCCACCAAACCTGCTCTCTGCTACACTGTATTTGTGTGTATGTGTGTCTGTGAGCTGCACACACATGCTTGCACGTGTGTATCCCAATTCTGACTAATAAGATGTATCAGTGGCTGTTTAATCAAAACAGTTAATAGTTATAGCTATCATAATACGCAAGTTAGTCTAAGTATTTTCTTAGGACTTCAGAAGAATGAATTTCCTAGAAAAGAAGAAAGCAATTTATGAATAGACTTGGTTTCTCTGCCAGTTTGACTATGTTAAATCCCCAAAGCAAATGGTATCCAAGGTGCTTATTATTGTTCAGAGAGGTTGAACTGGGTGAGAAGATCCTGAAAGCTAATGGCTCTAGTGGATGATTTATCTGATTATGTTCCTTCTTTATAGCTAAACAGTATTGATAAAATGGGCAGTTTCTGGTGGTTGGTTTTTCTGAGCCAAAGGAAAACCTGCTACTTAATGTCTGTTTGTAGTGTATGGAGTAAAAGGTGTGACTAATAGAAAAGTGAGTACTTCACATTTCCTTTGACATCTTTCTCTTACCCACATTTCCAAATCTGATTGAGTCATGCGTGTATGGGATGAAATCTTGACTTGAAAAAAGGTGATGAGGGCCTGTTGGAAGAAGCAGTGATGAGGAGAGGCCAGTTCAAGCCTGTCTTTTTTTCAAGCAGGGCCTTAAAAACACACTAGTTGAAATTAAAGGATTAATTGTCTTGGTGTCCATTTGTTGGGATGAAACTAAAGGCTAATCATTTAAAAGAAAGAACATTGCCTGCCTAGTCTTTCATCTTGTATCCCTTCAGCACCTCTAGGATTTCTCCCTTAGTCTTTTCTCTCATTCTTCAGTACCATTCCCTACCTACTGCTTTTCTTTGTGTTTTTCTGAAGTTTCCAGCTGGAAGATGAGCTTGCTGGGACTGTGTTCTATTTATCTTCATATCTCTGGTGCCTACACAGGCCTGGCATCTAGTATCCCTTTAACAAATTTGTAAAGAGGTGGTGCAAACCAAACCTGCCGTCCTTTATTTTGCCAAATTTACATCTACTCCTTGGCTTTCAGCTCCTATGTTTTTCACTTTCCCTCTGAGCTTCAATCATTCAAACTTCTGCACCCAGATAATTTTGGTTTCATACAAGCAAAATCATTTCAGAGCATCCCTCACGCTCTAAAGTGATCCCACAACTCTTAAATGCGTAAACTTGATATAAAAGGAAGGCAAAAATTAAGACACTGAAATGCAAAAAGGACTCTCATCCACTGGGGTATTTGCATTTTCTTAGGAAATATAATTTTGAGGAATGGAACACTTAATTTAATTTGGCTGTTCCAACTCGATAGCAACAGGGTGTGGTATACCGAGGAGTTTTGTGCAAGCAAGCCACCTGTGCTGTGAAATACGGGGCTAGCAGTTACTGTGCTGGCACTGGGCAGGTTGACCAGCCTGCCTGCTAGGTGTGTGGTTCCATGCACCCATTTCTTTCTAGCCTTCAGACCTACCTGGAGGATATCTTGCGCGCTGAATGGTGGGGCTGGGGGTCTCTCCAGCGGAGGCTGAGAGTGTAGGAGGCGGGGACGTCCGGTGAGGCGAAGCAGCGGCGGTGCTGCCCGGCTCCGCTGAGGGTCCAGGCTCCGGGCCCGGGCTTGCCGGGCTGCGTTCTCCCGCAGTGGGCTCTGCAGGCACCGAGAAGGAGGACAGAGATCGCTGTGAGACCAGGCTAGGTCACTGCGTTCTGGGTTGGGCGAATGGGGGGAGGGGGCGCACGGGGAGTGGCGGTGTTATCTAGAAATTCTAGTTAATTACAAAGAATTATCATAAGGTTAAGTAAAGGTGCTTAAGGGTCCGCGGGTCCGGGAGAAAGAAGCATTACAATGCCTTAGGGGAAGCTAAGGAAATGTCCGCAACCACTGCGCACACCGTGGTTTTGTGGCGCACCAATTGAGGCTAAAAGCCCCGCAGCCTGTGGTTGTCCAGGAATTTCTCTCTCTGCCCTCACAATTGGTTCGGAGCTCTCTAAATCAGGAAAACCGAAGAAAGGAGAACACTTGAGGAATGAGTTCCACCCCAATTTGGGGGTCAGTGAGTGTGCACGAGCGGAAAATAGTCGTTTTCTAACTCCTCTCGCCCCCCACCCTTCAAAGACAAATTTTACACGATGCACAGGAAATGCACAAGGTCCGGAACGAATGCATGAATGCCCCGAGGAATTAAGAAAGTCTACGCTTTTCATTCTAAATGCTAATGGGGCTTCGCTTCTATTAGACGCGAGTTTCGGGGACCAGGGGTCAAGCAAACAAAAGGGCACAGTGGAAAAAGGCCCAAGCTGGAAATCAGGCGATAGGGCGGACAGCGTTTGCTGCTGGTGGAGAGGGCGGAGGGAGGTCCTCTGCACTCAGCGGGTGGGTTCCCCGAGGGTGGGCGGCTTGTAGGCTCCGGGCCATCCCCTGGCCTGGAGGGGGCACATTCCGGAGGGCGCCAAGCACAGCTCCCAGGCGAATGTCTGAGCGTACAGAGTAGCGAAACTTTGTAGCTGAAAGGCGCTTGGTTGCCCTCAGGGAAGGATCAGCCTGCCCCAAACTCCGGCCAATAGCGCCCCCTTTGCTCGGGGTGGGCACAGCTTGAAGGGTAGCAATGTTAACGGGGGGGGGGGGGGGCGGGGGAAACCAAACCAAACAAAAAACCTCCCGGGTATGCAGGTCTCAAGGGTCCTGTAAATTTCGTCTCCCCCCACTCGCGCGTCGGGAGCTTGCTTGCAAGGAGAAAGGGGCTCGGAGACCCCAGGTCCGGGAAACCCTCGATAGTCAGGAAATGGGGATTCCCTTGCTAACCCCAGCCGGAGTTGCTCTGATCGAAAGCTTGCGCTCGCTGTAGCGCTGGCACAAGCGGATCTTTCCACGGCTGTAGCATGTGCTTTTCATCCCCCAGCATCTTCCGTGGGGGTTTCCAGCAACCCCCATCTCCTCCTCTAGTGGGTGCCCACATTCCTGCCCCTCCCCGGGAGCCTTTCAAGCGGAGACTTTCTCTAAGGGGCGACCTCTGAACTCGCGTGGGCAGGGGTCGTGTCTCCCCAAGGAAGGGGTTCCTCTCAAGCGCCCAGCGTTCGCGGCGGAAAGCGGTACAGCCCTTCCCACAGTCTAGTCGAGCGCCCCACCGCTCTCTCCGCCCCCCAAACGGCCGGTTACCTAGGCAAAGCCTCGGCGCCTGGAAACACGTTCTGCCGCTCTTGCTTGCGGCCGCCGGGGCCGGGGAGCACAGAACCTCGGGGTTGTAAATTAGGAAGAAATAACTACCTCTGTCAAAGCCTCTTTCTTTCTCGTGGGTAGACGAAAGGAACACCCCCGTGTTCCCCTCCCCGTGGTGAAGTGTGTGGAGGAAACGGTGAAACGCACCATTGTGACTGGGGCTCCTCCGCGGAGTTTCCAACCCTGGGGAGCGGGGGCGGAGGTTGGGCGGGGGCAGGAGCAGTGGAGGAGAGACCGACAGAAAGGGAAAGACAGAGATTCTCAGAAAGAGCGAGGGAGACAAGACAAAACCGCGGGGGAGAATTTCTGCGAGCGCAAGGTCCCAGGAAAGGGGATGAGAAGGTGGGGAGGTTGCCGTGGCATGGAGAGTCTTTGATATTCACATTGCACGCATCTTGTTCAGCTAAAACAACTCGAATAAAGTAATTTCATTCATTGTGCCCAGTACCCGCGCTGGGCAGCTTTTCTTTTTCCCAACTCAGTTTTATAAAACACTTCCCTGTCGTGGGAAAAGAAGACTCAGGATTGGATTCGCGACGGAATGGCTGAACGGCGCCTTGTACCCCTCTCCCTGCACCCCAAGGCCCTGGGATAACAGTCCGAGATTTCTGATTACTAAACTCTTTGCAGCTCTTTCCTCTGGAGAATCCGAGCGCATAGATGAAAGGCAATTTCCAAGAACGTTCGGAAATAAAGGGACAAATGCTTTCCCTCTCATGACTGCCTGAAGCTACCAACAGGTTCGAGAGGTGCCTTTGGAAGTCAGTATCCGCAGGCTACGCTCGCATCACCGCTCTCTTCTCACCACCGAGAACTTTCATTTCTACTAAGAGTAAAACACTCGAAACAACTTCTCCAAAAGCGTGAGTTCTGTCAGTGAAAAGTAAATCATTCCTTTCCTACACCAAACCAAAGTCAGGAGGAGAGGGACGCTGTCCCCACGCGTGTCGGAGCGCGGAAGTCAGCAATTACACCCTATTACCTCCGAAGGGAAAAGTGTAAACCGGTAAGACCGCGATGCCAGGCAGACGTGCCTAGCGGAGCCCCAGGCTCATTTCAATACAATAAACCACATTCCTACAATTACACCCTCTTTCCTGAGATCTCCGAGCGCCTCTGCAAACTCCGGCCACTGCTGCCCAGGCCTCTTCGCTCCTAAGCTTTCTCCCAGACAATCAGCTCCATTCCACCATTAGGTACGTTAACTTGGACCCACCAGAGCCCCTATTTTCAGTCCTACTTAAAAGGCAGGAAAATTACTGCCGTTCATCACCGGGGCTGCAACTCCCTGCCGCTCGCGTTGCCGCTGCCGCTGCCGCCGCCGCCGCCGCCGCCGAGAGCATCATTACCATGACAACTAGAGCCGAAATACCCTGAATTACATCGCTAGAGCTCTTACTGCACAAATCCCGGTCCTCCTCTTTGTTAGAGGCTTTTCGCCTGTTGGGGTGGGGAGAGGAATCCCACAAGCTCTAGAGAGTCCTCGCGGGCCCGCTAAAGGGAAAAAGTTTCAGATCAGAACCCACGGGCCGCTTGGCAAGCAAAACCAGAGCGGGGAGGCGTGTGTGTGTGTGTGTGGGGGGGGGTACACCACACTCAAAGTTGTCATTTTCAGGAGCGACGCTTCCCATAGCGCCAACTTTTTAACAAGTCCCCTTATTAACTGGGCCAATCTCATACGTACTTGAGTGCTGTGGCGGTTCCGTCTTTAGAGCGAGTTTCTAGAGAGCTGTTCCGAAATCTTCACTGGGGGGGAGTCACAGCTGCTGTCCCGGAAGGGCTGCGGTGTATAAGCCCAGCGGCTCCCAGAGGCGGTGAGCGGCTGGTGGGGGATGCTGCGATCGCGACTCATGGGAGAGCGCCGCCGAGAGGTTCCGCCGGCGTCCTGGCTCCGGCCGCGACTAGGGGATAGGATGCCGCAGCTGTTCCCACCTCCACTGCCACCGCAGGCGCTGTCAACGTTGCAAAGTGAGCTCAGGAGGGGCGTCCGGCTGCGGCACGGTGCTGCACCAGCGAGGGCGCAGGGTTAGAGGGGTGTGAGCGCGCGGGAGAGAGTAGAGTGTGTGTGCGGAGCGTGTGTGCGGAGCTTGTGTGCGCGCGTGTGTCTGTGTGTGCGAATGAGGGAGCGGGTGTGAGCGTGTCTGTGTATTGGGAGCGGAGGAGGAGCAGGAGCTGGAGGGGTGGGGGGCGGGAGGCTGGAGACTCCGCTCTCCCGGCTGCGCGTTCGCTCGCTCTCTCGGCACGTCATTTATGCCACAGGAGCCCTAGCGGCCTCTCCATAGAGTGCCTGGAATGCGAGACGTCAATGTGACGCCATGGGACGCTACGTCACCCTCCTCCTCCCTCCCCTGGCCCAGCCAGTTCCGCGTGTGCGAGGGAGGGTGTGTGAGTGAGTGAGTGTGTGTGTGTGTGTGTGAGTGTGTATGTGCATGCTTGTGTGTGCGCGCGCATTCCCCAGCCATTTGCACCGCTGCACAATGAAAACTGCTCTGAACTGCCGACACCAGCCCCGGGACTTCTCGGACCCGCGCTGCCAACCCCTCTGCAGCTAGGTTGCTTCCCTGGGCGTGCGTCTTCGGGAGGGTGCTGCGGCCCGCCGGCGGGTCAGGCGGGACCGCCCAGCTGTCAGGCTCGGGTGGAGTAGAGTTGGAGGAGTTCTGCTGGCGCGCCTCCGAGGCTGCCCCGAGGCAAGAAGCCAGGACGAGGGGGTAAGGGAGAGGACAGCTCTTCCGAAAGGGAAGGCTCCGCCAGCCAGCTTCTCCGAGTGACCTGGCAGCGGGTGTTGAAGGAGTCTGGCACCAGTTTGAAGACTCCCCGAGGTGCAGCTGTGCTTTCCTCATGCAATGGTCCCAAAACTGTTTACGTCTCTCTGGCCTCTGAGCCTAGGCTAATTCCTTTCCTCCTGCCATTAATTTCTGGGTGCGTGTTTCACAAGGGGATGCAGATGGCTCTGGGGATACGATTTTATTTCTTTACACTTATGGTGTGAGTTTCCTAACTGGACGCATTATAACCCAGCAAAGTGCACATCCATCAACCACGTGCACGCTGCAGCAGAAACTTACTGTATAAAACAAACATACACGTGTTGAACAGCCGATCAAGTCTCACTTTTGCAAATCATCCCTCCTCTCCAGCACCCTGTCTGAAATGGAACTCTCAACTCGTACTTTCACTTTTTTGATGGTTGTAGATGCCCTCCCCCTCCATCTCCCAAATGAAACATTTCAAAATCAATCAACAGGATTTATTGGTCAATCGCTTGCTAGGGGATTTGCTCTGGTCTCCTGAGACACATATGTCTTGAAATAGTGTGCCGACAGCCTGGGCGACTGTATGAGGGAGAGCATTTTCTTCCTGGAAATGATGAATTAAGTGTAAGTTTACTGCTGAAAACAAAAACAAAAATGTATCAGAGGTAAAGACTCCTAGTTCCAAAGATTTCTGCTTAAAGCAACCTCTTTCAGAAAAGAATTTTTTGAGGAGAAAATATTTGAGTGAAACAATGCAGACAGACATGGTCCCCCACGTGGTCTCCTTGAATCAGATGTAACAGTTTTATTTCTTTGACTTGTCCCAATCTCTGAGTGTATATGTGTGGGGGTGGGGATGTTGGTGGTGTCAGATTGAGGGGGAGGATTCCATTGTCCACAAGCCCATGTTTCAGAATCGAAGAAGCTTCGATCTTAAGACCAGAAACTTGAAAACAAAACTACATATAAATATATGGTATATCTTTCTTCGCCTCCACTTCCACTTCAAGCAGCCTAGTGTGGAGAAGACCGTGGGAGGATGCTCTGAAAGTTGACCCAGCGGGGAGGAACCTAGCCTCTGCACAGCCGCGGGTTCCAATCCAGTCTCAGAAGGAAGGAGGGCGCTGCTACATTGTATCCATTCAAAGGCTGAAGGGGGGGGAGCAAGACCTGGAGCCGCGCTGCGCTGACGCACGCGAGGCGCGTGATTGACGCAGGCGATGTTACTAAATTCGGCGGTTGGCCGGGCCCTGCCGCCGGCGCGCGCCGCAGATAGCGGAGTAGGTTCCCCTCGGTCACCCCCGCCCCTTCTCCATTCAGCGCCGCGCGGGGCGGGGCGGGGCGGGGCCGGGCAGGGCGCGCGGGGCGGGGCGCGCGCGGCCGCGCCGGGATCCGGCCGAACCAAATATAGTCGGGCCCAGCTATTTTTAGTTAGGCCTCGGGCGCGAGCGCGCCGCGCTAGGGGCGCCCTGACCCCGCCTGGAGTGCGGAGGGGGCGGGGGCGGCGGAGTCGCCATCTTGGACTCGGCTCGACCCGCACTGGTGACCCGTTACGCTGGGAAGGGCTGAGCGCCGGGGGTCGGGGTGAGTGGGAGTGAGTTGCGGGAGAGAGCGTGCGCGGGCTGAGAGGAGCGAGCGGGGCGCCGAGTCCACCTCTAGCGGCGGCGCGAGCGGTGGAGTGAGCTCTGCGCGCGCGTGCGCGCGCGTTTGGTGTCAGGGACGGTGATCCCCGCCCGTCCTCCGCAGGCCTGGCGGTCGTGCCACCCTGCCGCCCGGCCAGCCCCGAGTCGCGTGGGGGCGGAGCTGCCCGCGGCCACCACTTCCTGAGAGCCGGGGATACCCCTCCCGGACGTCACGGAGGAGCCGAGGCGGCGGTGGCGGCCCAGGGCTCATCCTGCACTTGCATCACGGGTGCAGCAGCAGCTGCTCTGCTCCTTTGTGGCTTTTTCCCCTGTTGAGTAACTGCTTTGTTAACTGAAAATACCATGACGGGCCAGTGTGATCACCAGCTCCAGACCTCAAAGAAAGTGAAGCTGTCAGGCAAGAAGAGGGAGACTCCCCCAGTCGGCTGCGATGGTATCTGGTGGGTGGGTGTGTAGAGAAGCACTTGACAGTTTCCACGTATTACTTCTTGCCTAACTCTTCACCCTCAAGAAGGTTTAAAAATACTTTTATTTCCATGCTGTAAAAATTTCATCTGTGTTCTGCACCCCATCCATTCCCCGCTTCAATTTAAAATTTCATATAGCGCTGGGATCAGTGTAAGGAGGAACCCTAAAATTAGGTACGGTTTTTAGGAAACATGACATCTTTCAATGAATTTATTCAATAAACTACATTTTCTAATTGTTAATATACAAAAGGCCCTTGCCCACTCAAGGTGGTTATAAAGCTACTAACCAAGTTTACTCACAGGAATTGGGCTTCTTCAGTGAATTTCAAACCAATATCCTTGTTTATCTTTTTGTAGAAAAATCATCTCTGACTGAGAATCTCCAGATAAAGCGTTTCTCTGAGTGGGTGTGCCTTCAGGACCTCTGTCATGGCGAATCCTGAGCCTCCCTCTTCTCCCAACTTTCTGCCTCCTTTTATGTCCTTTCTTTCCCGAGTATCTGGGCTTTAATCTAGATTACGTTTCTTGACTGCTTTGCTGGGCTGAGGGCTGTTTGATGCACTCAACGGATTCAGGGTTCCTGGCTGGAGTTCTCTGGGCAGGTGGCTGGACCAACCATGGGAGGTTTCAGTGGTCACTGATAAGTGGCAACTCTTTTACACTCAAATGGGAAGTCATGGAAGCAGAGACAAGGCTTTCTTACAAACTGGGACACTGTCCTTTGCTTAATACTTGGTCCCTAAACATGTGATTCAGTGACCCGAAAGGAATTAATTTTTTGCTATTTTTAAAAAATTAATATCTATTCCTCTATTTTTTTTAAAAGTCTGAGTTATTCGAAATCAGGCATAGTATTGTGTAAGGCATATGTAATATAACTGTTTCAGTACTCTAAATTACTTTTTGATGATGACTTTTTATTTTATTTTTTACCAAGTGAAATTTAGTCTTTATAGGTAAGTCTTTAATTTTGGGAAAACAGGGTAAAACTACCTTAATCTGTGACATGTTGAAAACATAACCTGTAATGTATTGAAAAAGACTACCTCACTCTGTGACATGTCCTTTTTCTAGAAGAGGGACATTCAATATGTGGCCTAGTTTACACACAAAGTAGAGAAAGCAGTTTCTACTCTCCTGTTCTTTATCGCAGTCAATCTGTTAAAAAAACCTCTTTCCATAAAGTAACTCTTAAAGATTCACTTTTGTGGGCCTAATTTGCTTGTAAGAAAGAAAGTACTTTTTCTCTTGGGAAGTAAAATATAGGGGAAATTTACTGTGTGTGATATAAAACAATTGTTTTAACAATGTGGGATTTAAAATTGCTTTAGATGCTTTTTTGATGAAATAGTGACATGTAATCCATGATTTTGCTTACCTATAAAGTTCTTATTCATGTACAGATTGAATGAGGAAAGTCGAAGTAAAATTTCCAACCCAGAAGTTGTTACCTGAGGTGAAAATAAGGCAAAGTCAATGAATTTTAGTCCATATTTTCTTGAATCAGTACAGAACTTCTATACTATATTTATGGTACCTATATAAAATATTAAAATTTCAGCCGACGTTGATATATACACTTATAAAATGTCTCTGGTTTTAATAATCCAGCACTGTTGTGGTAATTTTCTATCTGGCCTCCAGCATATCCTCTTATCAATTGTATCAATGCCAAATTAGTCTTCTTAAAATTCAGTTTTTGTTATATCATTCTCAGCCTCACAATCTTTAGCAGTTGGATATTGTCTCCAAAGTAAAACCAAAGGCCTCTTTTATTTGCGCAGAATTTCCCTGTCCTCGTCAAAACTCGTATCCTCACTGTTCTTCAAACATCCTTTTAACCTCCCACATTTGTTCATAGTTTTCCTTTTTATGGCATTCCCTCTCTCCCTTCTTCTCCACTTATTGAACTCTTACCCTTCCTCTAAAACAAGCTCAAGAAGTGAACTCATACTGTGCTTTAGTCTTTAATAATTTTTACTTTTACTGCCTTCTTTGTGTGCTCTTCATGTAGATTGCCTGTAACCCCATCAAACCATAACTTTGAAAGCATGCCTCTTGTACCTCAGGAATATCTGTGGCACCTAAGAATGTCTAGTATAGATAGTAAATCCCCATAAAATGTTGCTTCATCTAATTTGAATATGAATGGACAGCAGCCATAACATAGGTAACATTATAGGGACTAGGTTATTCTTGGCACAAATGGGCATTTATGAGGTCATACATTAGTTGTTTTCTTTACCTGAACTTTTGATATTCCTAACTGAACTACCTTGTCAAGGTGCCTGCCAGAAGCACAGACAGCTGCGTGGTGATACAAGGAAATGGCAGTTTGGCTTG